CCTCTGGACTGCAAGGAGAACAAACCTATCCATTTTGAAGGAAATCAACCCTGAGTGCTCACTGAAAGGCCAGATCCTAAAGCTGAGGGTCCAGTACTTTGGCCATCTCAAGAGAAGAGAAGAGAAGACTCCCTGGAAAAGACCCTGATGTTGGGAATGTGTGAAAGCAAGAGGAGAAAGGGATGACAGAGGACGAGATGGTTGGACAGTGTCATCAAAGCTCCCAACATGAATTTGACCCAACTCCGGGAGGCAGTGGAAGACAGGAGGGCCTGACATGCTCTGGTCCATGGGGTCACGAAGAGTCAGATACGACTTAACAACTAAACAAAAAAACTTGATTCTGGTCTGGTTTATCATGATCCATTGCAAAAGAGGATGTGGTTTAGATCAGGATGATAAGAAAGATGTACCTGTCTCTACATCCTGCAATAGTTTCTTTTTTATGAGATGGAGAACCAAAGCTATAAGATCTCTCTGACTGGGATCCACGGTTATGTGATGACTCCTCCTCCTCCTCTCAAAGAACATGTACATTTGTGGCAATTTCATCAGGCTGTATTAGAAGGAAAGAGAAGCCAACAAAGCCTCTTCCATTGTCCTGATTAGGACCAGCTGCCATTTGGCTTCTTAATTCAGCATATAAAGAAACAATTAATTGACCATCAAATTTAAAGAGTTTCCAAATTTGGCAATTGCCCATACAAATATAATGACACAGAGGCTATATGCAGTGAAGTGTAGTCTCTGCTCACTGTGTGATTCTGAGAGGTAGTTAAACATCTGGGTAGCTGCCTATTTTTTACAAAAAAAAAACATTAATGTCAATGGCCTGAAGTGATTCTGGACTTGGAATATTCAGAAGCTAACAGATTACATGATAATAGCAAACAAAACCTGTAAAACTGATTAAATTAACTGGTCTGGAAATAAATTTAACTTCTTAGAGGCAATTTAAGGGCATTCATGCAGCTGCAAAATTGTGACTGGGAAGCAGCAGCCAGCAGAGGGGCACCCAGTGCAAACATTGCTGGCTTCCTGCTTGATGAACCACCGGACAACGACAGATTTTCTCTAGACATATTGCACCAGAAATATTTTCAGATATTTTTCCTTCTCTGATCTGACAATGACATTTCCATTACCATCTGTTCCTCTTACTTAGGAGGTGAGAGAAAGAGGATCTATTGTTACAGAAGGAGAATGCTTGTTTGCCACAAATCTACACACAGTTGCCATTGTTTTGACTTTTAGAAGCCAAACACTTCTGTTTTCAAACTGTTATGCTGTTTGTCTCCAATAAATAAGGATGAATTCATAGCTGGATGGGAAATAATGCACTCATAACCACTTTAGATTTATTTACTTCTATACCAATGTGTTGTTGCTCTGTGTAGCCTATATTAAGTATATGTGACTTTAATGTAATTGTGGCAGAATGATTAGTAGACAAGCCAGTCATTTGACAATAACTTTAAATTCCTTCCTGTTTTGTTTTGTGTTGGTTTTTATTTTTTATTTTATTATTTATTTATTGTTTAGGAATCCTTTTGCCTCCAAAGAGCAAGCTAGATATTCCGGTATTGTTTGCACCTTATTCCATGAAACTATATGAAGTTGTGCTTGTTGTTCAAGTTGAGAAACTGGATGGTGGAGACTGGTCTTATGATGATACTCTTGACTTAAGCAAAGTATTCAACAGGTAGGTATTTAAAACACAGGGCAGACAAGATTGGTTAATTCTGCTGATTCTGAAATTTAAATTATTGTATAATTTGTTTAGTAATTTTTGAAGTAATCAGTTCCAGCATTTCAAAAGGCAAAAAAGCAGGAGGAAAGGGCTGGAAATTTGAATTTCCAGCCCTTTCTCCCTGGCCTTTTGGCTTCAGAGGTCTCAAAAGGCTTCGTCCAATGTTGGGGGGAAAGCCCTTTGAGACCTCCAAAGCTGCCGATCGCAGGGAGGTCTCCCAGGGCTTGTCCACCACCATGGGAGACCTCCCTGGGGGTCCCTGCCACCGCGATGGGTACCTTCGGAGCTCTCAAAGGGCTTCCTCCGATGTCAAGCAGAAAGCTCTTTGCTCTGAATGCAAAAAGGCAGGGAGAAAGGGTTTACAAATGGCTCCGTTGGGAAAAAACGGCATTGACTTGCAAATGGAGCCTCGACCTCGTTCGTAGGTCGAGCTCTGTTCGCAATTCGAAGCCAATTTTTGCCAGTGGAGTTGTTCGTAAATCGAAAAGTCTGTATGTAGGGTCGTTTGTAAGTCGAGGGTTGACTGTACCACTAGGTAAATCATAAGGCTGATATCAACTTGTATCTTGATGTTGCAAATAAAAATAACATTTTTAAATGTGGTGAGGAAGGGAAAGGACATATCTGTGCCTCATCCAAGTTTTAAAAATTCTTGTTGTGGGGATTAATTTCAAACATAGTCAATGTTATCATTTTTCCTTTTGTTTTTAAGGAGAAATAGCCCACAGTGAGACTATTTGTAATTCTCCAAAGAAGTGGAGAAAATGTCTAAAGGAATTTTTAAATGGGCATGGAAGACTTGATTAAGTTGTTTTGGGAAACTTAGCTGTTCTAGGTCAATATTGGTTGTCCAGATTTCACAAAGTAATCACATTTGTTTACTTTTCTCAGAAATACTATAATCACTGAGAATGAAAAGATCATGGGACTTCGCTGGATTTATCCAATTCATGGACTCCCTGAAGCACCACCCTATAAATCAACACCAGGTACATTATGTGCAATGGAGTTGCAAATCAGGAATATTAAAATGACTTTCCTCCCCCAGGCTATGATTTAGACAAGAAATAGATGGAGCAGTAGTTCCTAGAGATCTTATGGTGAACATTTATTTCACCAAATAAATAATCTGATTTTCACTGAATTTATCTCTGTCCTCAGTACACCTCTGGTTTTATTATAAATGAATTCTTTTTTGTTATGGCACATTAAATTAGACATGTATGAGTGATGGGGACACACATCTTGTTAGGTTTGTAATTGACCTGGACAAATTGGGCTATTTTCCTGGATCATTGGAAGGTAGCTCATTTATTCCAAGCCCAATTACAAACCAGAGTGGACCTGCAATAACAGGTTGTAATCTTCACTGAGTCCCTGGAGGAAAGGTGGGAAATAAACACAAACAGCAAACAACTCTTTCCCCTCTTTTTGGCATCTAGCTATTTGCCTGCTACTTCTGGGCAGTACAGCTTACCCAACTGGGTGTAACCAGTGCATCCTCCCCAGAGGAAAAATGCAGCACAATTCTTTCACTAACAGCAGCCAGCAATTGCACTTAGGGGTTGGGATTGCACTCTGGATTTCTTTTATTTGAAAAACAAGTCTTTGGTGATTGCTCATGTTTACCTTATTATCACTGATCAGCCTAAAATAATGATAGGAATACCACATAGCTTTGCCCCTTCTCCACAACTGCAATCCTGTATGTAGCTGTACATTCCAAAAGGCATTGGAATCAGTGATATATATATATATAACTATAGTTTTTATATATATAGTCATGTTAGTTTGTGCTAGCATATCAGGAAAAATCGAAAGAAAAATTAAAATACTTACTTACTTACTTACTTACTTACTTGCTTACTTGCTTACTTGCTTACTTGCTTACTTAGGGGCTTGACTACATGACTGGGCTGGTGTGGGCTAAATAGAGTAACTAAGAAGTCCAGTGTGCCATTTGGTGTATTCCTCACCGCCAAATGGCAGATGGACTTATTTGGTCTGCACAACCTGCTGTCAATTCACCGGTATCATGAAGTTGCTTAAGAAGGATTTTGACAAATTAAATACTTTCTCAACTCTGTAGAGGGGATTGAGGAAGTGGGATTTTTTAAAAAGAAAGTACATTAGGACAGCACATATGTGCTACATCACTTTTAAAAAAGTCAAATGGAAAACTTTCTCCTGGAAGTGGGATGAGATGGGAGGAGGCAATGAGGGGATTTTTTGTTTGCTTTTCTCTTAAAGGTCTGGTTGAGAGCCTCTGAGCAGGTTCTCAACTAGACTTTTAAGAGAAAAACAAGCAAAATTCCTCTAATTTTCCTTCCTGCCTCCTTCTGTTTCCAGGAGGAAGTTTTCCATTTGTCTTTTTAAAAAAAGTGGTGCAGCACGTATATGCTGTCTCAGTATATTTAAATTTTTGCTTTCATTTTCTTGCCTTCACCAGGAAGCCAAGGAAGTGTTTTATTTGTCAATAACCTTAAGAGGATCTCTTCTGAAGCTACTTCACGATATGGCAAATTGACAGGGAAAGGCTCATTTTTTGTTTGTTTCCAGCAATCACACACATTTGTTTGTTTGTTCCCAGAAATCATTTTGGAAATGAACGAAAACAAAGTGATCCTAGCTGCACCAAAAATGTAGAAGCCCTTGACAGAAAGGTGTTGGTGGGAATGCTCTAAAGGGTGGACTGGTTTGCTCCAGCAAAGACATTGCCTAATAGCCATCTTTAGGAATGAACCAGCCTCCTCCATAGTGGATCAAACACTGGGCTAAATCGCCATGAAGTTGCCATCTTCGGCTATTTCCAAATTGAAGTGGGACTCTTCCAAAGGAGACCTAATGGTCCTAAAGATGAATAGGCAATTTGTTTTGGGAGAGATACAAGTCCTGTTTCATGGCAAAAATTCCCACAACATTCTCCAGAGAGCACAAGGAGACTTGTAAAGATTAAATAGCATTTTTTCCCAAAAATTGTCCTGGGCGCTCCAAGAGTTACTCACAATTTCTTTGAAATAACAACAAAGAATTTAAAAGTGTGTCACACATATTGTTCTGGAATATTGCCAAGGATTTACTAAGCCTCCAAATATCTTTCAGCTTTGACATCCAGGGTGTGGAAATTTGTTGATTTCCTGTAATAATCAAAGGGTAGCCTGAAGCTGTGGATTTCTGAACTGAAATTTGAATTTGGGTCTGAGCGAAAGTAGATTAGCTGTAAATTAATCCAAGATGAAGTTGGCTGTTTTGCTAAGTATTGAATCTGGTCTGAATCAAATCTTGTTACTACTATACATCCTTAATTCTTAATTTGCATCAGGGTAGCATGCTAGAATATTTCTTTTTCAAATATATGAATTTATTTTTTGAGGTAACTTACAGTTATAGAATTAATTTGTTCTTTCTATGGGCAAGTTTTATGAACATCAGGAATCAGTTTACAGTATAAGCTAATAGATTCATAAAACACAACATGTGTGCTAATAAGGCCACTTCAAAATGTGCTAGTCAATTATATACAAATGTATTCATCAAGGAATACAAACAATAGTCCACCTTGGTAATCTTGATGTAATTGAGCAACTTATTGAAGAATGAAATCATTGAATTTAATAGAGTAGGTATTGTTTGTATTGTCATTGTTCTGATTTGTTAAGGATCTTTAGCTTAGAGAAAAATGCCAGCGTGATGTTAATTATAGATTTCATCTCATTAATTTGCTCTTTAATTAATTAAATATGGAATATTGAATATTACCATCAGAATTTATTTCATTCTTACACACCATGACATCCTCATTAAATCCTAAATTGACAAATATGCATGTTTATATTTTTACTTTAAAATATTGATATAAGTAACAGAATGAAGTCAGTGTAAAACATTCTTTTCTCCTTGGCATATTCACATGGCTGTTTTGAAAGATAAAGAAAAGCCATACATAGGTAAGTGTGCCAAGATGTAGATTTTTTCTTTTTGATTCTGGTACTTAACTAGTGCTCTCATGGTGGCCCTCCACAGTCTACTTCATATAAAGAAACAATGATCAGCCCAACAACTAACATACAGGCATCGCTCAGCTGGCAGAGGTTGATGCCTTTGAGCAAGTTAAGTAAATGAGCTTAAGTGTACCAAACTCTGGTTTTGATAATGGCCGCAATCTCTGTTGGCATTTGCAGTGGCAGCTCTGTTGTGTGTTTGAGAAACTGCTCTGTAAATATGGTTTTAAGATTCGAAAAGCATCCATTGCATGCCAGACATATTACTTGTACTAATCATGAGCAACCATATTTTAGATTAGGAAAAAAACCTCCAAAACTCCCATTTAATTTCTAGAGTTCATTCACTATTGATTTCATTTATATTCAGTTTTGTGCTTGTAGCTAAGCCTGCAGAAGGAAAGCACTGGGTATACCAGTAACTAGGCTAACTAACTACAACTTTTCATGGGCTGTAGTTTGCACACAGAGTATTTACGGCATGGTTGAGCAAACTGCAAACCATGATCTGCATGTAGGCTCGAGGGCCCCCACTGCAGGTCCCCACCCCTCTTTTGTTCTGTAATAACCAATTAAGACTAGAGCAGTGGTCCCCAGCCTTTTCTGACCTGCAGACCGGGGCACACTCACATGCATGTGCAGATGGTGCAGGGTGCACTTGTAGGGGCAGGGGGTGCTTGTGCACATGTGTGGATAGTGCAGGGTGTGCTTGTGGGGGCGGAGAACCCATGCATGTGGGTGGGCCTTGTGTGCATGGGGGTGTGGGCATGCAGGGGTGGTGAGAGATCTGTCTCCGTGGCCCGCTCCTGCCAAGGCCACGGACCGGCACCGGGCCGCAGACTGGGGGTTGGGGACCCCTGGTCTAGAGGACATGATTGTCTATTTCACCCAATTCTTCTTCAGCACATCCTGATTTAGTGCCATAATGGGCCTTTTCCCAAAACCATCTAATTTCTTCTTTTAGTGGAGGACAGAGGCCACTAGAATGCTAAATGAGACATGGTGTATAAGGAAATTAAGTCATTGCTGATCCTTGAGGAACAGACAACACGAAGCCTGAACAATCCTTTCTACTTAGAACAAATATCCGGGCTAGTCTAATATATGACTTATGCATGTGGGAGGTAACACATGTATATTGGATATACTAGTCACATGCTACTATTTTGATTAGTAGCATGAAACCACATTTACATTCTCAGAAACAGCCAGATAATTGCCCCAGTGAGATTTAGGCCTTGCTTTGCCAAGGTCCTTCTCTCCCAGCCAAGTTTATTTCCTTTCTCCATGGACATTAAAATCAGGTCTTTCCACTATGTCTTTCCACTGCCAGCCAGGTGATTCAGCCACAATTCAAACTGAAGTCCATTTCCAGACAATAGGAAGACATGCCCAGTGTTCTACAATCTGTCCACAAAGTATATGTTTCTACCAGAAGAACTTTCAAAGAACTAAATAAACACTGAATGAAAGGGAGAGCATATCCTGTAGGGAGAGGATCTTCATCCACAGCCTGGGTCTGAGAAGCAGAAAGTTAATATGTTGTAGTCAATATCACAATATATACTTATGGGGAATCAATACTCTTCAGTTTGTAAGAGCTGAATTAATGACATGTTTTGAGTGTCATAATTCATAGGGTTGCCATATGTTACAAGTGACTAGACATAACAACATAACATAACAACAATAGGAGCAGTATTTATGGTGGTTGCCATATGTTACAAGTGACTAGACACCACATAACAACAATAGGAGCAGTATTTATGGTGAGAGGCTGATGTGCAAGATTCATGTGCATAGTATGTTTTCAAATGGAAATGTGATTGGGAGCTTGTTTTGGTGTATGAGGAGAAGGGCCAAGTCATTTCAGTAAGATGGACAGATAGGCCTGGGTGAGGGAAAAGTCTGCATACCTTGGTGCAATCCTCAGGAAGACCTCCCATGAGAAGACATGGATAGAACTGTTATTTTGAAATGGATGAAAATTTATAGAAGCAGTAGTAGGAGCAGCAGCAACAACAACTAATTTAATTTTTTTCAACTACCTATGTATGCTCATACTGGGATTTCATGAGTGTGAAATCCCATAAAAATTCCAAAATACAACAAATTACAAACCACAATAATGAAACACAATTTAAATTCCACTTTTAAAAAACAACAGCTTTAAAACACAGATGATACAACTAAAACTGAAGAGGTGGGAGCAAGAATTACATCAAACTTTGAAAATCTATTGAAAGAGAAACTTGTCAGAATATGTCTTTTGGAAATAATTTAAAGTTTGGAAAGTACTTGAAGAGGGGCCCTGAATGGACTTTATCGGACAGATATTCCTGAGCACCAGCACCACAACTGGAAAGATCCTGTTTTGCAGTGCCCCCCACCAAATATTCAGCAAATGTCCATGAGAGATCACGCCTTTTAATGCAGGCCTCTGATTCTCTTTGTGCTGAGTGACATCTGCACAATTACAGTGCCTGACCAGATAAAGTACATTCTCAATTTGAGTTGTGTGAACCAAGAAATATTTTATATATATATGTTTGTTTTCTAGCTGTGGTGCGCTGCCAAGCTCGTAGTAGAGTGGAAGAAAGAGTAGAAGTCCTGTTAACTGGTGTGGTTCCTGGAACAACTAGTTCACAAACCATTCATAACTCTGTAACTCCTTCCAAGAGCAGCAGCATTCGTGCTGAAGTTCAAGTCACTGAAGGTATGGAAAGAAAAGTACATTAATTGTCTATCTGCTGAACAAATTAGTGGGTGTACAGTGGTCTCAGGTATAAATATAAGCATGAGATCCAGCCATATCCCACAATTTTAATACTGGAAAATGAAGTGGCAATATGAAAATTCCTAAGAAGTACTTTTCTGTCTGCACAAGTCCCTGAATGTTTGCTTCTTAGGATCCTAACATATTATAAAAAACTCTTTCTCAGTTCAGGAATTAGGACTGTTTCTAAAATACATTGTATCTTACTCCTAGCTGGCAACCATGCTATTTATATGAGTCCTTTATATCAATGCTCCCCAACCTTGGACTTCCAGATGTTCTTGGGAGCAGCACTGGGGCAAAGTTATTGTTCTTATTGTTTGTGGCTGTTCACCCCAGTCTGACCTAGCCAGTTTCCTAAGTATGTTATTGTGATGGCTGTGATGACGTCAACCTGCCTCTCAATGTTATGCTGTAGCTCATCTGCCTATAGCAGGGCAGGAGGTGGGACTCCAGGAGGTGGAGCTATGTATATAAGTGGGGGAGTGAATGATGTGTGGAAGGAGAGCTGTGAGGAGAAGATAGAGATAGAGTTTGAGTTAGAGCATGTATGTTATGAAGTACTGTGTTAGATAATTTAATTACGTAGGCTACCAATTGCCCTCCCCCCCAGTAAGCTGGGTATTCAATTTACTGACCTCAGACGGATGGGAGGCTGAGTCAACCTTGTGTTGGCTGCCTGAATCCTCTGGGATCAAATGCAGGTCATGAGCAGAGATTTTGATTGCAGTTTAACCATTGCATTATTTGTAAATACATTTACAGAATACAACTGTGTATATATGAATCCTTGCAGTCTCCAGCCTGCAAGCTGGCTAGTGCTTCCCAATCTTTCCTAGAAAATATTTCCTCAATTTTAGTTGTCATCTAGGAGGTTGGTGTCCATGAAGTGGATAGATTTGATGCTGTATTACCTTATTTCATTGATTATTTGCTAGCACTTCTCTACATACTTCTGGAGGGCCATTGCCAGCCAAATAACAGGCTTTTTCAATAGGGGTAGGTTTCAGGCAGCTACCAGGAATCCTGCATGATTCATTAAGACATACAGTGGTACCTCGCTAAACGACGACCCCGTTAAATGATGAATCCACATAATGATGACTTTTTGCAATCACTATAGTGATCCACAAAACTGTCATTCCTATGGGGGATTTTCGCTGGATGTCAATTAGGTCCATGCTTCGCAAACCATTTGTTCGCAAGACAATGATATTTTCGGCTCCACAAAATGGCTGCCCTGTGTTTTTCAGACCCATGATTCGCAGGGCAGCTATTTTTTACAGCTGATCGGCGCTTGCAAAATGGCTTCCCTATGGGCGATCTTCGCTGGACGACGAGGTATTCTCCCCATTGGGATGCATTAAACTGGGTTTCAATGTATTCCAATGAGGAAAGGGTTTTCGTATGACGATGATTTCACTAAACAGCAATTTTCACAGGATGGATTATCGTGGTCATGCTGTACATTCACTAGTTTGGCATGTGTGGATTGATAACATACAGCACTAGCATATTCTGCTATGGAGCAGCACTGGCGCAAAGTTATTGTTCTTATTGTTTGTGGCTGTTCCCCCCAGTCTGACCTAGCCAGTTTCCTAAGTATGTTATTTTTATGGCTGTTATAACGTCACCCTGCCTCTCAATGTTATGCTGTAGCTCATCTGCCTATAGCAGGGCAGGAGGTGGGACTCCAGGAGGTGGAGCTATGTATATAAGGGGGGAGTGAATGATGTGTGGAAGGAGAGCTAGGAGGAGAAGATAGAGATAGAGTTTGAGTTAGAGCATGTATGTTATGAAGTACTGTGTTAGATAAGGTCTGAGTGATAGAGTGATTGAAGGGATTCTTTATTTTAATTATTGACTGATTCAGTTCATATATTGATTTACTATATATTAAGTTGTACCAATAAACAATAATTTTTATTTTTAAAATCCATACCTTTGTCTGAGGAGTCAGATATATGGGTGTGGTTGGTGGCAGCGTGTTACGAGAAAGAAAGTGTGAAGTGGCGTCCCCTCTGTGACGTATGAGGAGGCGGCCACAGTTATTTCTGGTGACAACTTTCTATTTGATGTTTATGGTATGACTGTTTCTTCCCTTCCCTTTAGTGATATATTCTATGGTAGCTTATTTTTTTGAAGCAAATTGAAAAGATGAAGATGCTGTGGTGCAATAATATAAAGAAAGATCCTTCCTTTGCAATAATTTACCAAATGGTTTTTTACTCCTCAATATGGAATGACAAAAATGTAGCCCTCTAGAATTTCTTCATATGACTGCTTTGATCTGAATAGAAAGACTATAACAGGAATCTGTTATTTATTTATTTGACCTTCTGAGTCCTAGATTTGGAACTCAGAGGGCATATAAGTTTTTTAAATAGTACAGATAAAAACATATGAAGATTTAAAAAAAAACACACACCAGCAAACTTCATGAATTAAGTATCTTTGACAGCCAGCAGAAGGATGACAGGAAGGAGACCTGACAGCAGATACCAAAAAGGCCCTTTCTTTCACTCCAACCATAGATGCCTTATAAAGGTATCCGGGCCTACAAATGTATATACAGTATATGACAAAAATCTCTCCACTGCTAAGACTTTTCTTGAAAGACTTTTGGCAAGATAACTTGCCAAGGAATCATCAACCCTGAGAGAGCCTTCAGTGAGACTTCAACATGGAGATAACAAACCTCTCTTTTTTTGTACAAAATATCTCTGCACAAAACCAGCATAAAACCCAAACCATTTTGCCGATGCTCCCTCTTTCTAACCCCCAAATTAAGAAAACTTAGCTTTGAGGATTCAGCCTCTGGGCTCAGAACAGTTAGACATTTTTAGTCCCTGTTGAAACTGAGCCAACAGGCTCCACCTCCAACGAGGTGTGTTCCAATTGGTTTGTTCAGCATCAGCTGATGTTAGTTCCATAAGGCTTGTGATTGGAGGAAGCCAAGTCTCCTGATTATAGGAAGCTAAGCCTCATGACTGAAGGAAGCATGTTTACTGAGGCAAGGTATGTGCAATTTTGTTCTCTCCTCAGCTATCTCAGCTTACTTCCAAGGGGGAAAAAACGGTACCTTGTAGCACTTTTGATCATTTTATATGACACAAGTCCTGGTGCAGTTTTCAGAAGTGCACATTGATACTCCTTTTAAACCACACCAGGTCTTCCATTCCAGCTGGTCGGGGCTAGGAGGCTTCCCAGCTTCTGTGAGAGCTGGAGTTAGGGCTTGTCATGTGGAAAGAATGGAGCTGCTCTAGCCGTCCCGAGGGAAGAATAGTATTGCTGTCCAGCCAGTGCCACAGAGGCTTCCTTGTTGGGTGCATGTAGTTTTTGCTGGGTGAGACAGTTCCTGTTCCTCCCAAGCAGGTATGGCTTCCCGACCATGTAAGTACCATTGGGGAGCCTTGCAGCACTAGCCAGCCTGTGGGCTGGGGACTGTCCCACATCCTGCTTTAATGCAAAGATTCACCTTATAGAAGGACATGTGAAACAGACAATAATCTGATATGTGTTCTTCCTGCTCACATGTTGCTGTAGTACGTTATCTTCCGTCATCCATTAGTCTTTTTAGGCTGCATTTCAGCCTTATTGTTTGTTTGTTTGTTCAGTCACGAAGAGTCAGCCTTATTGCTGTGCCTCAATTTCATTTACAGTCAATGTTTATCTCCCTTTTACTTGGTCTCTCCCAAATAAAAGGCCAAGGTGGAAATAAATATGTGAAATCATAGTTTTCAAAAGGTTTTGTAATTAGGTAAAGCAAGGTTGCCTTTTTGTTTATTATGTTTGAGGTTCCAAGATGAATACAAATGAAAAAATATAAAATAAATCCAGGATATTTGTGAAAGCATACATAAACGTTACATTTCTGGAAATAAAAGCAGCACCCTATCTGCAATCTCAGTACCCATGACAGCAAGTTGATTTGAAGCTTTGCAGATGGGTCTAATAATTAAATTTTAAGATAAGCAGCTGGCTAAGAGTTTTATAAAAAAATACCTCAGGCATAGGATGAAATTGCTATAGTGAACTAGATTTATTTTAAGCTATTTTTTTAAAAAGCAGGATATCAATTTGGCAAAACATTTACTCCAATAATTTTGTTTAATGCAAGTAACAAGTAGGAATGAATTGTTTCCTTTTTCTTTTGAAAGCACAAAGTTTCCCACCAAGAAAGAACAACTATACTAAAATGGATTCAATTGTTCTGCAAAGATTCCTCTCTCGGACCTCACAGTCAGTTAAGAATTGAACTTGCCAAATTACAGTGGACCCTCTACTTACGGAGTTAATCCGTATTGGAATGGTGGCTGCAGGTCGAAAAGTCTGTAGGTCGAGTCTCCATTGACCTACAATGCATTGAAAACAGATTAATCCCATAACCGGCCGCTTTTGTTCCATTTTTGTTCCATTTTGGTTTTTTTCTGGTCTGTAGGTCGATTCTCCGGCTGCAAGTCGAACCTAAGTCTGTAACTTGAAAAGTCTGTAAATCGAGCTGTCTGTCAGTCGAGGGTCCACTGTATCATCCAACATATTGACAAAGCATAAGCTAATATTCACAGAATGGAGGAACTAGGACAACATATCAGACACATACTTTCATGTGGACATTAATGCAGATAAACCTCTCTGTCATTTTCTCCCACCTTTGGTGGAAGGGCGCAAAACCTCAATAAGCTGTACTTGTAGGCTCCTCTGCTCTGAGAAGCTGAGGATTTGCTGGAAGCCTGGGACATGCAACTCCACATGAGAGGGAATACAAATCTGAGACCTGTGGGGAGACTTGACAGACCATACATACTTTGCATAGTACAGAAGACCATGCAAAAATTTGGTGTACCTCAAAAGTCCACAAAAGAAAAGGAGGAGCAGAAGGAGAAAAAAAAGAAAATGTGTGCATTGAATGATTAAATATATATCAGAGCTTATCTGAA